TTTCTGTCAGCCAAAGAACAGGCAGGAATTGCTACCAATTTCCCCCCTCCCACTCTAGACTCCCAACTTTGCCCCAGGAGCTGTTCCTGAGGGGGGATAAAACTAAGAAGTGGTTAGCAGGCTGTAATAGAAAGGGGGAGTTCTGCTGCACAAAATCTGCAGATGGCTGGCTACAAGCCAAAGTTGTTCAATTTACCTCTTCATCATAAGACCATAAGAGAAGCCATGTTGGATCGGGCCAATGGCCCATCCAGTCCAACACTCTGGGTCTCACAGTGGCCAAAAATACCAGGAGCCACCAGGAGGGCCATCAGTGGGCCCAGAACTCCAGAAGCCCTCCCACTGTTGCCCCCCCAAGCACCAAGAAGACACAGCATCACTGCCCCAGACATAGTGTTCCATCTATACCTTGTGGTTAATAGCCACTGAGGGACCGCTGTCCTTGGCTGAAGAAATACTTCCTTTTGAAGCTAACTATGCTTGTAGCTGCCACCGCCACTGCTTGCAGCACTGAATTCCACATGTTAATTACTCCTTGGCTGAAGAAATACTTCCTTTTATCTGTTCAGAGCCCACTGCTCATTAGTTTCATGGAGTGCCCACCTTTCAGGGCTCTTTTTGTAGAAAAAGCCCAGCAGGAACTCATTAATAGGCCACACCCAACAGGAACTCGTTAGCATATTGGGCCACACCCCTGGCAGCACAGCTCATTAGCACATTAGGCCGCACCCACATGTTACCAGAAGTGTGGTCATCCAGCCACACCCACCTTTTGCTTCTTACTCTGTTTACCTTGTTTGTTGTCAAAACCCAGGGCCTTTTTTTTGTAGCAGGAACTCCTTTGCATGTTAGGCCACACACCCCTAATGTAGCCAATCCTAATGGGTTTCTGCTGTTGGGGGTGGCCTATTATGCTAATGAGTTCCTGCTGGGCGTGGCCAACTTGGGAGCCAGCCGGAACTCCGTTCCTGTGCGTTCCTGCCCAAAAATAGCCCTGAGAAAAGTACTGCTTTCTCTGCCTTCTCTATTCCATGAATAATTTTATAAGCTTCTATCATGTCACCCCTCAGTCGTCATTCCTCCAAGCTAAAGAGCCCTAACCTCTTCAACCTTTCTTCATAGGGAAGGGGTTCCATTCCCTTAATCATTTTAGTTGCCCTTTTCTGCACTTTTCCCAATGCTATGGTATCTTTTTTGAGGTGCGGTGACCAGAACTGTACGCAGTATTCCGAATGAGGATGCACCATAGATTTAGACAGGATTATGATTCTGGCTGATTCGTTTTCAGTCCCCTTCCTAATAACCTCCAGCCTAGCACTTGCCTTTTTCATCACGGTCCCACCCTGAGTTGACATCTTCAGTGAGTTCTCTACTACAACAATATCTCTCTCCAAGTCAGTTACTGCCAGTTTGGACCCCATCAATGTATATTTATAGTTAGCTAGATCGCAGTGCTGTTACTGTAATGGAGACAGTTTCTAAGTCCAAATAATGCACCTTTGGTTTACTACAAATTTATGGCTTCTAATAGAAAGTACCAACTCAAATTTTTAAAAAGCAGTCGAAACCCGAAATATATATTTCAGTGCTTCTGGTTATCTAACATACTGTAGAAGTTCCAAAGTGGCGATTATTGCTTTTCAGGTGATTGCCCCATGAGACTGTGAGAGAGGACGCATGTTTGTTTTACCGATTTGTGTATCAGGGCGGGGATGAAAACCACAAATACCGATGTAATAATCCACATTTACAGAAACCAATTTATGAATTCACCTGAGTGATTGCGCAGGTCAAATCATACCGAAAAGCTAACTTTCCGATTTGTGGCTTGACATGGTCCAAGGGATATTGCAATACCTCAATGAAACTGATGAGTGTCTATCCACGACATACCATACACAATCCTTTAGAGGTTGTTAATACGACAGCATACGTACACAAACCGAATCCAATGGCATAGGTGCTAGGTGGCCATATGACAGCAATGCTGATTCTGTGAACTTAGATCGTGAGAGGGAAGGCAGGAAGGGTAGCCTCAGTGCTTAGTTCTCGCGGCCCTTTTTTACATGCCCAGGGAAATGCTGATCGCCACTTTGGGGTCAGGAAGCCATTTTTCTCCAGGCCAGTTGGGCCAGGGATCCCAGAGGGTAGTGGGGGGGGGTTGCCCTCTTCTGGGCATAGAACAGGAGTCACGGGGTGTGTGGGGGGTGTGGGGGGGAGGTATTTGTGCATTTCCTGCACTGTGCAGGGGGTTGGACTAGATGAGGTCTCTTCCAACTCTATGATCCTATTGTGCTTAAGATCACAGCTTCTGTGTGTCAACATCTTCAGTACCTTTTGGGTTTTCCTTAAATCTGAACAACGTAAGGGAAGTACATGCTACACAGTCTTCACATTTTTGAAATATGCTTTATCTACATAGCTACGTAAAGTTTTGAAGTTGCCAGAATGTTTAACACCACACTTGATTTGTAGCTCCCCCCCAAGACAAATATTTCATTTCAAATATTTGTTGCAATTCTGACATATAGTTAACGGAAGTTACTTTAATTTTTTTTATTGAATGTCGAAACAAACATTCAAATCAGTTCATGTTCTATTTAGGGCACTGGATATGCTTTCCAGAAATTCAGGTTTTTTTGGGAAGATCCACTACACTGAAGAAGAGGAGACTGGATTTATACCCCGCCCTTCACTTGGGAGTCTCAGAGCGGCTTTCCCTTCTTTTCCCTTCCCCTCCCCACAACAGACACCCTGTGAGGTGGGTGGAGCTGAGAGAACTCTGACAGAAATGGCTCTTTTTTAAGGACAGCTGTGCCAGAGCTTGTGACTGACCCAAGGTCACATCAGCAGGTGCAAGTGGAGGAGTGGGGAATCAAACCCGGTTCTCCCAGATTAGAGTCCGCACCCTTAACCACTACACCAAACTGGCTCTTGACACTGACAACAACCCCATGGCTCAACCTCTGCGCTGAAGAAAGGGAAGAATTATTAGCAAAGAGCAGTCTAGGGCCTCAGAAGTGACATTGCTTTTTCGTCACTATGAGCCAATTCAGTTTCAAATTAACTTTTTATCCCCAAGCTATTAAGCGCTTCTACAGGACAGTTACATAAAGACATCATGACCACAGCCGTTTCTCAATGCTGACTGAGAAGTTATATGCCAGGAGTCCCCAACACAGCGCCCACAGGTGCTATGGAGTTCGCCGACACGCTTCCTGGTACCTGCCAACTGCTTTCAGTAAGAGGGCGGGGCCAGGTGGGTCTCTTAGCCACTGGAGATTTGATTGGCTGTGCAGATTTAAAAAAAAACACTGCTTTGGCAGCAGCTGCTACCACAGCACAGGGGTTTTCGTGGTGTGACTGAAGGTAAGCTACGGCAACCATTTTGTGGCCAGTCCCACCTCCCGCGGCCGCCATGTTGTGGCTGCACCAGTGACACTGTGTCAGAATTCCAAGGGTACCCCACAGGCTCAAAAAAGGTCGGGAACCCCATTATACAGCATTTCCACCATGGCATCCAAGAACAAATGAATACCTTTTTTAAAAAGGACTATTAGCAAGCTTTATTAATGCCGGGGTTCTACCCAATATAGGTGGGAATAAGCCCTCTTAGCCTCTCTAGCCAACAAATCCAGCTTTTCTGTCACCTTGTACACTGGGGCAGCTAGAACCAGTCAAGAGAATAGCCACATGACTGACTGCAGCAAAAACAGCTATAGCTGCTATATGGAGGAGTGACAAGGCAGGGCCTTCCATAAATAGGTGGCAGAACAAGATATGGAATCTTTAGCTAACGGCAGGTTAAAAGATTGGTGATGGAGGGAATCAGATTGTGAATTTCCCATCCTTTTCCAGTATCTCTAAACACGTACTCAAGAGCGTCCTTTACCTCTCTGCGGTTTCAATCAATGCCAACAGCAATTTTGGAGGGCCAATTTTTATCAGACTCCATTGGTTCATCATCTGTGTATTTGTGGCGTGCATGAACTTGAGGATTTACCTCACTATATCCTCTTTTGCCCACTGTATTCTAGTCCGAGGGCTAAATTTTTAGCAGGTATTTTATCTGGTCTTAGTGCTTACCCAGTTGAGGATAAAATTTCATTTTTTTTTGCTATCTGACATTGATGCATATGTCTCATATAAAGTTTCATTATTTGCCCTTGCTGCAAAGAATATACGTTCCAAGGTGACAACGGGAAGGAGTATTATTCAGGCTACTGTACTGTCATTTTGTTATTGATTTCTGGTACTTCTGTATATTCTGACATTAACTTATAGCTTGTTTACCATTTGTATTTTGTAATCCTGTAACGGCCAATGGCTAATTACAATAAACTAAACTGAAGCTGAAGATATGGAATCTATAGATAATGGGGGGAAATCACTGATCAAACAACTCAAAGTGATATGGATATGGATACATACTCCAAATTTGCGGTAAAGTGGTTTCTTGTATTAGGTTATCTGGCTTCTCACAATGCGGTTCTTAAAAAACTGGTTCATATGAACTTGCTCAATATCTGTCATTAAAAAGGTTGTATGCTATGTTTGGTAGTTGGTTGGTTTAAATTTCGGTGTCACGATCCACTTCTCTAATGCAACGTAGCAGAGAAGAAGATGACGTTCTGTGCATCTATATGATTCAATAATAATAATAATAATAATAATAATAATCTTTCAATTTATTGATCGCTCAATCCTGCAAAGCTTGCTGGCTCTGAGCGATTTACAGTTACTCATTTTTCACGAGGGATTAACAATGCTTTGTGGGGTAAGGGAGGACAACATATATACATCTTAAATTATCTTTCTTATCACAAGGTTGTACAATACTGATGTGATTTTGTTTTGTATATATGTTGTAATAAACTCAATTTAAAAAAAGGAGAGACCATGGGTGAATTTCCCCCTAATAAAGCTAGCTGGGGAAGAAAATGCTCCTCACACGGCAGAACCCTTCTTTGAAACACTGATAGAACAGCTACTGTAGTTACCTGAGCCGACGGTGGCAATTCCTCAAGCGGCCTGCCGCCGCTTCCATGGAAAAGTGTTCTGGAAACACTGTCCGTCTTAGGCGATGCTGAGTCGTCAGCGCCAGCTGCTGCATCTGTCCTATGTGCCAGCCACATGTCTTCCTTAGGAGACCCCATTACCTGCTCATCTCCAAAAGCGGCCCACGAACAGCTCTCCTCCGGCTCCGGCTCAAAGGCATTCCACTCCACCGCTTGGTTGCAACCAGCAGAGCTGAAGTCGGAAAATTCATCCGTGTCCAGGCACCGTTTCGTTACCGAATCGAAGTCTCCAAACTCGTGATCGTTCCCATTTTCCCTTTCTGCCAGAGGTTGGACTGCCATACTGGAACCTGGATTGGCTCTCCAGACTTCTTCCAACCCAGAGCGGGAAAGCTCATTTGGTTCAGAAGGCGCTACCGTGGCTGGCTGCGGATGGTCGCCGGTTCTGCTTGGGAAATCCCCACATTCATTACTCGGCTTACTGGTTTTTTCCTCAAAAGGGGGTTCCACATTTTCTTGGCTCACAGAGACTTGAACACCAACAGCAAGTGCAGGAGAGCCATTACTTACTGTGCCGAAGTCCCCAAAATCATCTTCATTTAAGTCACTAGACGAGGCTGGTCCAAGTTCACTTCCATCGTTTTTAACCATTTCAGAGACGGGCATGTGCTTGCCGGTGGGAAGACTGCCAAGATCTTGAACACTATTTACATTAAGGTTTAGCGGACTTGCAGCATCGCTGGTCCAAGAAAAGTCACTTTCTGGGATACTTCTAGTGTCACTCTCTCCTCTGCCTTCAATACCGCCCGTCGTGCCCCCTTGATTCACATTTGTTTGCGTGGAAGAGAAAACATCGGCATGTTCCAGTGCCGTACTTTCATGGACCACTACATTACTTTTTGAAATGCAGACCGGTTCGCCTTCAGTGCAAGTCTCCCCTTCATGTTCACGGCTTCCACCCGAAGCCACTTCCTTCATAGATTCCCCCTCTCCAGCGCTATTTATAATATTGCTTTCGTGCACACTTAGTGTTTCTCTTTCACTCAGATTTCTGCATATTTTACTTCCTGCTTCTTCTGCCTGGGCTGCTTGCTGATGTGAGAAGGTGGTAAAATCTGCAAAGTCCTCTACCGTGCTGGGCGCAGACACCGATCTCAAGTCAGGACTATGAGTGCTAACCGTTTTTAATGCCTTCGAGTCACCGATACCGTCCAGATCTTCCACCCCTGGAGGACTTGTGGCGTCCAGTGCTGCAAATCCATTTGTTAGCACGTCTGGGCACTGCGGTCTCTCGCCATTACAGCTGTCTATTTGTTGGTCCTGACCTGGCGCTATCCTATCAGTCCGAATAATGTCAGAGGGCGGTACCTCCGATTTCTCAGTTCTGTTTACCTCTACTGAGTTGGATTCATCAAACGATGAGCCCAGACGTAGACACTCAAGTTTTTCTTTGCTAGTGCCGGCAGGAAGTCCTTTAATAGAATTAGGAAGTTCCGTGACGCCGTCCGCATCGTTAACATATCTAAAGGCTATAATGCTGTCCACGCCGCTCGAATAATCAGCGTTATACGGAGTTCTATGGTCTTCCTTTGAATTGGAATAATCTGATGCAAAGTCGAAGCCTACGCTAGTACTGCCAGCACCGGAAAATCCACCAAAATCACCAAACTCGTCATCTTCCTCCTCGTCAGCTCCGTTATCCAGTGGTGGAGGGGAAGACGAGTACATTCGGATAATCTCAGGTTCCATTGTTCACCTATCTAAGCAGAACGTTTTGCACCTATGAAATAAGAAAAATAAGAATATATTCAGTATGTTACGAATACACATTAACACGGGTTAAGAATATTTATGCATGTTAAGGACACAACAGGATATGGCCTTGTCAAAACTCCAGAAGCAATTTTATTGGACTTATGGCCAGATAATTCAGTACCTAAAATACACCAAGAACTAATCTCCACCGTGCTTTCGGCAGCAAAGACTGTAATTGTGGCTAGCTGGAAAGACACCAACCCTCTCTCCAGCGGACGATGGTTTACCAAGTTATGGGAACTTTTGACAATGGATAAAATCTCTGACTCCATAAAGAGAATAGAAGAACAAAATCTCACCTCAAATTTGCTGGCCCAAATGGTCTCCATTTCTGGACTATATCCACAACACTCAATTTCCATCTACAAAACATATGCCTGCCAAGTACAAAGAAATACTTACCTGTTTATAGAGATTTGTTTTTGGAGCTTATAATGGATATTACCTACTAGGTATTCGCTCTTCCCTAGACAAACTTTTGTTGAAACTTGTGTTCAGGAACATATCTGTATATTATGTGGAGGTAACCACCTAGTTTATCCTTATGAGTTGGTTGATTGTAGTTATTGTTAGTTTTGTGTTTCATGTTAACAAATGTTTAAAAACAATAAAAATTTATTTAAAAAAAACAAAAAACAAATACTCAATTGGGTAATATCACAAAGTACCCATGACGGTCTGCAGTAAAACAACTAGATTTTTTAAGTCCAACAAGTATTGGGAGCACAGTTTCCTCTAAGCTGTGCTAGGGGGTGCTGGTGCACAACATTTCAGAGGCCAGCTCAGGGGATTTATGCTCAGCTCACAACCAAGCTTCCATACGAAACAATGGAAGATGGGGGCAACTCCTTCTTCCCCCTGGTCCAATCTTTTTGAAACTTTTTTTTTGGGGGGGGGGTTGAAGAGAGGCACCAGCAGTGATGCTGCAAATCTGGTGCCTCCATCTCAAAAAAAGCCCCCCAGAAATTCCCAGATCGATTCTCCATTATAGCCTAAGGGGATCATTGACTATAATGGTCCCCCATAGGCTATTATTGAGCCAGGGGGGAAAAACACCATTTTTTTTGCACACCCCGATTATGCTTTTCAGTATGATTGGCAAGCTGAATTCTTATATCCCAGTCTGAAGGTCGGAGGGGGTATTGAAAGGAAAGGGTTTAGGAGGCAAAGGCGCAATGTGCATTGTAATCAGCTTGATCAGAGGAGAGGAGTGTTCCCTCTAAGCTGTGGAGCCCTGTGAGCAAAAATTCTACTTTGTGAGCTACTGGCATTAAGGTCGTGAGCAGGTGATTTGGCTACTGGATAAATTAGTTTGCACTGGAGCCATCCTTCCTGAGCCAAGACAAAAAATGTGTGAGCCAGAGGCTAAAAAAATGTGAGCTAGCTCACACTAACTCAGCTTAGAGGAAACACTGGTGTAAGGTACCTCTGCATCCTGAGTTCTTTCTCTGCAACACCACTCCCACCTTCAGACTGGGATACAAGGACTCAGGGATCTCCATTCCAACTTGTATCTGATTAAGGGAGCTTTAACTTTCAAAAGCTTACACCACCTCACTGGCTACTGGTGGTCAAGGGCTCTCCCATACTGAGAATCCAGGGCAATGTTTCCCAACCAGTGGGACAGGACCAATGTTCCCTCTAAGCTGAGTTAGTGTGAGCTAGCTCACGGTTTTTTAGCCTCCGGCTCACACATTTGTGTCTTCACTCAGGAAGGATGGGTCCAGAGCAAACTAACTTATGCAGCAGCCAAATTGTTTGCTCACGACTTTAAGGCCAGTAGCTCACAAAGTAGAATTTTTGCTCACGAGACTCCAAAGCTTAGAGGGAGCATTGCTAGCTCACACTAACTCAGCTTAGAGGAAACACTGGTGTAAGGTACCTCTGCATCCTGAGTTCTTTCTCTGCAACACCACTCCCACCTTCAGACTGGGATACAAGGACTCAGGGATCTCCATTCCAACTTGTATCTGATTAAGGGAGCTTTAACTTTCAAAAGCTTACACCACCTCACTGGCTACTGGTGGTCAAGGGCTCTCCCATACTGAGAATCCAGGGCAATGTTTCCCAACCAGTGGGGCAGGACCAATGTTCCCTCTAAGCTGAGTTAGTGTGAGCTAGCTCACGGTTTTTTAGCCTCCGGCTCACACATTTGTGTCTTCACTCAGGAAGGATGGGTCCAGAGCAAACTAACTTATGCAGCAGCCAAATTGTTTGCTCACGACTTTAAGGCCAGTAGCTCACAAAGTAGAATTTTTGCTCACGAGACTCCAAAGCTTAGAGGGAGCATTGGGCAAGACCCCAAAGTGGGTTGCAAAGCCTCTAAAAGTGGGTCGCTGGCCAGCCCCTCTCCCTAATGGCCACCCCTGACCTTTCCATCGCTCTCTTTTGTATTTTGGAAACCAAGACCTCACCCTGGAAGCAAGATCTTCCGTGACATACATTAGTTGGTATATTGTCTTCACTGCATATACATGTTGATCACGTAAAATGTGTTCTGATGGGTTACTCGAGTGAGTTTCTTAGAATCTTACAGAGGGGGGATTAGAGGGAGTAACATGGAAGGAGAGGGTGGTCAAAGGCCGGAATGTAACCTCCACCTGCAAAGGCTCTGTACTTCAGAAGGCCGCTTGCTTGGGGTCCAGGGGGGGCCCTTTGAGCGATGGCTGTTGGCTTCTCAAAAGAAACACCTGGCTGGCCACTGTAGAAAACAGAATGCTGAACTAGATGGATGCCGAGGTCCTAGTTTGCCTGGGGTGCCAAAACGCCTTGGGCCAGCCTTGGATGGGTCACCGTACTAGAGATTCGGGGGGAAAAAACGGTTTTTTTCCATTTTTCCCCTGAAGCCTTTTTTGTTCTTTTCCGAAAAATTGAAAAAAGAAAAGAAAAAAATTGATTATGGAACGTTTTATTTTAACATGACAAATAAAATATTTTAAGACAAGGTGTTCAAATATTTTCCAAATCATTTCAAAGAAAAGAAAAAGGTTTCCATTTTGTTTTTGCACGTGGGTGGGTATCCTGTTTGTAATAATTGTTTGGATACACTATATTTTTAATATGCTAGTTGTGATAATTTCATGCCAAGTAAAAATGTCCACAGTCATATTTTATGTTCCTAAAATAACAGAATGACTTTCAATCTGGAAAAGACAAAAGAAATGCTAATGTAGCAATTTTTTTTCAATTTTTCCGAAAATTTCCGTTTCCCCCCAGAAAAAACTGAAAAAAACCTGGGTTTTTTTCCGAGCTTCAAAATTTTACATCTCTACACCGTACGCAGTAAATTTGGACTTGTGGGTCTCCGTACCAAAAAGGTTGGGAACCGCTGATCTAGGGAACATAGTGGAGCAAAGACTGAATAGACAGCTGTGGCCTAAACTATCTCTTTTACGTCTTACTTTCCTTGCAAGAAAATAAAAATACCCAAAGCTTTTATGGATGGGGGTTGGGGGGACGTGCTAAAAATCAAAGGATCTGGCACTGATCTGGACAGCCCAGGCACGCCCGATCTCGGAAGCTAAGCAGGGCTGACCCTGGCAAGTCCGTGGATGGGAGACCTCCAAGGAATACCAGGGCTGGGACGCAGAGGAAGGCAGCGAGCCACCTCTCTGAACATCTGTGCCCAATACGGGGTCGCCAGAAGTCAGCCAGGGCTTCCAGGCATGCACACACACACAAATACTAACAAAACAAAAAAAAAATATCAAAGAATCTGTATAGGAACATGGTTCAATTTTTGCCGCCGGCACGATCCTATTTGAAACCCAAACTTTCAAAGGCATTTAGCTCAAGGGATTTATCTTCATCTGCCCGAAAAGGATGCCCAGGGTCAAGATGCAGTCTGCACACGAAGTTCCTAGTAAGAAAGGTCCTACGTTTAAATGTTACTTAGTGGGGGCCAGTCCTCCGAAACAGAAATCCACCAACTTCTCAGCGGCGCGCTAGACAAAAAAGAGCTGTTTAAAATTCAGACACCTCACCCAGCCCGCTCTCCGAGCCGCATTTAAATGATCCAGACGTGGGAAGTCACGACTGAGCAACCCCGCGGGAAAGGTGGTGAAAAGCTGAAACCCTCTCGGGACTGTTGCTAACCAAGGTTAATCTCTGGCCCCTTTGCCACAAGGAGTTCCTGCTGTTCTAAACAAGCCACTCTTTATTAAGGTATTTATACCCCGCATTTCAATTAAGCTTCGAGGGAGCGCGACAAAAAGCTCAACCGCCACAGCGAAAAATCGAGGCTAATAAAAGGAAGCGGCCGAAGCCAACCAGAACAGCAGCAAGGCAGCAGAGGCATCTCAAAATCCCCCCCCCTCCCAATCCTGACTTGGACAGGAGAAAAACAAAGTAGGCCTCCCTCCAGTCCGACAATAGCTGGGACCAGTGTTCCCTCTAAGCTGAGTTAGTGTGAGCTAGCTCAGTTTTTTAGCCTCCGGCTCACACATTTTTGTCTTGGCTCAGGAAGGAAGGCGCCAGAGCCAACTAATTTATGCAGCAGCCAAATGGCTCGCTCACAATTTTAATGCCAGTAGCTCACAAAGTAGAATTTTTGCTCACAAGGCTCCATAGCTTAGAGGGAACATTGGGACTGCACCGTTGTTGAGCAGCCATGACCGTACTTCCATTGGGGGGGGGGGTATGCACAGAGAGCAGGTCATCTGAAGAGGCTCTCCATACACAGGTAAGTATGCACGAAAGCAGGTAGCCCTGAAGGTATGCAGGGCCCAGACTGATTGTTTGTTTATTAGTTTCGGCTTGTATTCCGCCCTCCCTGCGAGTGGGCTCAGAGTGGATGACGACAGGAAATCCACAACAGGAACGAAAACATTTCACAATAAATAGTTAAAGCAGTTGAAAACAAAGCTACAGACTAAAAACAGATAGCACTGCAGTTTAGCGTAATAACCGTGAGAACTGGAGCCGCTAGGCCGTAAACCAGACTGTGGGTCTTCACCTAGTGGGCCA